TGTAATGATATCTTTAATTCTCTAGTTTTGGTGAATATTTTTGTCATTTTTGGTAAAAAGTGATATTTTCAACTTCTTGTTGAAAACCGCAAGTCCAATTGCTTTGATATTACATATATAGGTACTACATGTGGACCTCTCTCAGATTTGTTCACTTTGTAATGATATCTTTAATTCTCTAGTTTTGGTGAATATTTTTGTCATTTTTGGTAAAAAGTGATATTTTCGACTTCTTGTTAAAAACCAATAGTTCAATTGCTTTGATATTACATATATAGATACTACATGTAGACCTTTCTCAGATTTGTTCATTTTGTGATGATATATTCAGTTCTCTAATTTTGGTGCGGAGCTATCTCAGCCAAGAGGCTGCTTGTTCAGATTGGATTCAAAATGGTTGACTGGCGACCATTTTGTTTTAATGATATCTCTTAAATGCTTTGACTGATTATATTCAAATTTTATATAGTCGTTATACATCATGTTATATATATACATGTATTCAAAATGGCTGTTTTTGAATGCTTGTTCTAGAGCAATATCTCTCAATATGGACAAGTACTTTTTTGACGATCAGATACAAATGTCAATCATATAAATGTTAAAAAATCATATTCCTGACATTGTTATATTCCAGCTATATTACTATAAATAAAACTATATATCTTAAATTTCATAACTAACTGGGACTGTGCCATGCATGGCTTGTTATCTTAAGCTCACGCAGTTTCTCGTATTGTTCTGGAAAGGATAGCAGCAGGATCATCATGTTACTAGTATTTCATGAAGTTTATACCTCATACATTTAGCAGTGTACAGCCATTGGTCAATCGATGTACAGCCATTGGTCAATTGGTATACAGCCATTGTCAATTGGTGTACAGCCATTGGTCATTTGGTGTACAGCCATTGGTCATTTGGTGTAAAGCCATTGTTCAATTGGTATACAGCCATTGGTCAATTGGTATACAGCCATTGGTCAATTGGTGTACAGCCATTGGTCAATTGGTATACAGATTAGTCAAAAGTTGTTCATTTTGAAGCAGATTTATTTACTTTTTCACAGCAGACTTTCTTGCTCAAATTTTTCTGCACTTTTTTTTATACTGACACAATTTGAGTCAATTTTTAGTTTTTCTCTAAAAATTGTTTGTCTCAATCTCTTGAAAGAAAGTGCAGACTATAAAAGAGACTATTTTGTAAATTTTTGATGGTAAACTAGTGGTTTAAGTCAACTTCAGTAACTCTACTTTATCATATGTCTGTGGACATTTAGATCATCAAGTTCATCTATTCGTGTATGAAGCGAATTCATCAGGTGTAAGTGTAGATGGATGAGTTATTGATAAAAATTGTAATGTTTTGAAGTGTAGAAACATTTCATCATGATATTACCAAGTGTCTTAGTTGAGTCTGAATAGTTACACCTTGCTTCTGTTGTAGGCACATGTACATCACTATACACATGTTGACGGAATGGAAATGAGTCAATTTTCTGAAAGTTTGGAATCTTTAACAACATTGATGAAAGAATATGAAGGACTGGAAACTAATATGGGGAGGATTGTGGATGATGTACACAGACTACAGATTGCATCATGAAATTGATATCAGTTAAAACAATGCTGTATATATTAATATACTTGTAATTATTTATGAGATATGCCTTGATCAGTCAGTTTACATTCAGCTGGCCATTTTTTAAAAACCTTCTCAAAACTTGCAAGATGTGATGATTCATGTGAGCTATGTGACACTAATATGGGGAGAATTTGCTTAATACAGTGATAAGTTCTGTAAATATTTTTATACTGTGCAGACATAATTCATGCAAATTTGTAGTTACTTTGGTGTTCAAGTTATTAGACACTTAATAGAATAGATTACACAGTTAAGATTACAGAAAGGGTATGTTATCAGCTATAAGTTCCATACATAGTGGAGCTAGTTGGCGTTGACAACATTCATTAAAATATGCATGTAAAAATATGTTTCATTGCATAATAATCGTGATTGGTATTGTAGTTTAGTTTGTGATTTTATGAGAGTGCATGGCGAACATACACAACCTGCAGCTGGTTTGCAACTTTTCTATTCTGTTATTTACTCAGGATGAACCCTGATGTTGCATTACTGAAGTATTCCATATTTTTTTGAGTAGTGGCTTTCGAAACGCCAAAAATGTGATTGCTAAGTCGCTAAGTCTCTAATGACATTGTATCCGCAAATGATTACACTTGTTGTTGTCTTAGAATATATTAATATGAAATGAATGTTGCAATACTTGGATGACATTAAGAGTTAGTATTATACACCTGTCACCCTAACGTGTCATTTTTGGTAAAAAATTATGTTTTCGACTTCTCCTTGAAAACAGCTAGTCTGATTGCTTTGATATTGTATATGTAGGTACATCAGGTGGACCTCTGTCAGATTTGTTGATTTTGTGACGATATCTTCAATTTTCTAATTTTGATGAATATTTTTGTAATTTTTGGTAAAAAATTATATTCTCGACTTTTCCTTGAAAACAGCTAGTCTGATTGCTTTGATATTGTATATGTAGGTACATCAGGGGGACCTCTGTCAGATTTGTTGATTTTGTGACGACATCTTAAATTTTCTAATTTTAATGAATATTTTTGTCATTTTTGGTAAAAAATTATATTTTCAACTTCTCCTTGAAAACTGTTTGTCCAATTTCTTTATATTGTATATGTAGGTATATCAGGTGTCAGATTTGTTGATTTTGTGACAATATCTTCAATTCTCTAATTTTGATGAACATTTTTGTAATTTTTGGTCAAAAAAGTTATTTTCAACTTCTTCTTGAAAACTGCTTTATTTGTGAATCTCTGTCAGATTTAGTAATTTCATGACGATATCTTCAAATTTCAAATTTTAGTGAATATTTGTGTAATTTTTCATAAAAATGTTATTTTCAACTTCTAACCTGATTGCTTTGTAAATTTATTTGTAGGTACCTTGGGTGGTTCTCAGTCAGATTTGTTCATTTCGTAACCATATTTTGAATTCTCTATAGGTTTGTCATTTTCGACTCAAAAAAGATATTTTCGACTTCTTCAAAATTGTTAACTTGAATGCCATGATTCTTGGTGTACCTGTACCCTAGGACCTATATAAGATTTGTTCACTTCCTGCCAACATCTTCATTTTTTTTTTTATTTTTAGCAAATATTTTCGTCATTTTTCATCAAAAAACATATTTTTGACTTGTCCTTCAAAACCAGTAGTCCAAATTCTATGATACTTGTACACATGCAGCTTGGGTAGATCTCTATTAGATTTGTCCATTTCGTAAAGATATCTTCAATTCTCTACTTTTAGTGAAATATTCTCTGCAACAAAAAAAGAAAGTTGGTGTCTTGCGATATTAAAGCAGCTAGCATTAAGTTTAAATTACTTCTTATTCATTGCTTCCAGAGCATGCATCACAAACAGTGGAGCTATATCAGCCGACAGGCTGCTAGATATTCAACCATACAAGGAAATTCGAATTCCACGTATGGAAGATTATGCGCGTAAGATTCCTCTAGTAATAAAAACAAACATGGCTGCCACCAAGGTTTGACCAGACTCCAAAGAAGTTTGTTAATTCTGTTCTAAACTTTTTAAATTTCGGCATTCCCATGATATATCCTTGAAAGGTTATTACGAGGATACCTCATTTTGATTTTTAGATCAGATTTAGCAACAATAGACATCTATAAACAACATGTCAAAAGTCTAACAAAATCGGACAAAAAAAAGTTGATTTTTTCAGGTATTGATATTGCCCATATATTGGAAATATTAAGCCATTTTATTGATGCAGTAAGACGTACATATACAAATGCATATAGGATAATAATGGTCAATATATCCACATATTTATCACACTTATCATATTTAGTCAGCCAACATTTTTTTTGCGCATGGTGAAGCAAATAGTGCCCTCTATATGCATGTACAGCGCCACCAAGTGGTGATATTTTCAGAAATATACAGGGTCTGGTATTAGTCTTGTTTCATTGGCATTTTATCAGTATAAATTTTACACAACATAG